CAAACCATGCGAAATAGTTTCTCAGATTACTCTCAGAGTAATCTGAGAAACTATTTCTGCATGGTTTGTATGACATGAGATAGCTGTTGTTTACAGGGCATGTGGTAACAGGACTCAATCCCAGTACTCTGGGATTGGCAGGTGGTAATAAACACATGGGTGGTTTAATTACTTCGAGTGGTTCTTTTCAGGGTGCCACTGATAAATTTCACAAACAGGTGAAATTTTTTTCAGTGAGAAATAAAAACAAAGAAAATGTAAGGGTTTTGAAATATGCTACAATGTGTTTTATCTTAAAAAGAATATTTTAAGAAACAAACATTTTCTTGTTTTATTTTATATTGAATAAATGAAAATTTAAAAAATTCTGAATAAATTTTATGTTAAAAGATCAGATTAACCTATCTTCACTGATAGTGTTGTTCCTACTTTTCTCAAGGCTAAAAGAGAATAGACTGTGAGATATATTGCACTTCCTATATGATATTTTACTTTTACTGCTGGTAGACTTCACTTTTTGGCATAAATAAGAGTTTCTGGTTATTGTGATGAGGATGAGAGGGAAGACTGTAACAGTGACTAAGAACATAGATTCTCTTCTATCTCTGCCTAAGTCATCTACTTACTCTGCTCTCTGTAAGCCTCGGTTTCCTCATCTATTACTAGTGAATGGTCTTAACACCAGTCCCCGCATCGAAAGGACTAAAGGAGAAAACACGTGAAGTACCCAGCACAGTGCCTAACACGTAATTGTTTAATAAATGCTAGCCGCTGTTGTTACTGTCATGTTTTTGTTGTTAATGCCTACCAAGTCTTTATTTATCAATAGCTTTCCCATTTTAAAATACCTGTGTAGCTCCCAACAAGCTATGGATAGCTTTCAGGGTTCTCCTAACTCCACTGTGAAAAGCAATGGCACTGATGGTTTTTATCTTTATGTGAGTGGGCCAGTTTGGGGTTTGTTAAATGCTGGTTCCTCTGATGGGAGAAGAAATGCAGCATCTCTCCAGGGACCAGGTAATTATAAAACATATTCTTTTCTTCTTTTTAAAGCAAAGGGGCCAAGTTGGATAAACTTCCAGTTCATGTCTATGAAGTTGATGAGGAGGTTGACAAAGACGAGGTAGGATGATCACTCACAGATTTTAAAATTGATTTCTTTTACAGACTTAGAAGATTAATTAGAAAATTACCAACATATACCCAAAACAGCAATTGGAATGCTTCTTGAAACAGGGAAAAATTTTACTAAATGTGTTGTTTGACTGATTGAAATAAAGTTTCTGTTTCAACTTGGCTACTTAGCATACGCAGCATGTTCTCCTGGCCCCGTTTATTTGTTCTGAGATCATTTTCAAAGGCCTGGATAAGATTTGGCTGCACTGTTAAAAGATATCAAGATTACTTAAACCTTAAGTTTATATTGTTTTTCTTTTCTTTTTTTTTTAAAAAAATATATTTTTTATTGATTTTAGAGAGGAAGGGAGAGAGAGATAGAAACATCAATGATGAGAGAGAATCCAAGATCGGCTGCCTCCCACACGCCCCCCACTAGGGATCGAGCCTGCAACCCGGGCACATGCCTCCTCTCCCCCTGGAATCGAACCCAGGACCCCTCAGTCCACAGGCTGACGCTCTATCCACTGAGCCAAACCGGCTTCGGCTCCACACTCTTTTTCAAAGAATGCTATGTATCCAGAGATTCACCAACATTTGGCCCTAACTTTCATTACCCTGGCTTTGATCATTTCTATTAAATGCCTCTTTTGTGTGTGTATTTGGAAACAGAATTTACATTTTTGGTATTTATAACATTACAAAGACAGCAGGGCGTAAAGGGGACTATGTCCACTGAGCAAGGGAAACCTACTAAAAGATGGTGCTGCCCATCTCTGTATTTCTCTTTCTCCCCTACTCACTTTTGGGTACCTCATCATGAGTTTAGTTTTTCTTTTTCTTTTTAAATTGTCAGCTAAGCCAATAACACCAGCCCCTCATGAACTTTAACAATGTCCTTGGTAGCAAATTATTTTAAAAATAATTCTGAGAAGAGGAGGTAGTCATTCAAAGTGAAAAGCAAGATATTAAGAATGTGGTGCTGATTAATAGTAAGAGGAGGACCAAGTACAATAATGCATGCAAGGACACACAAAACAAACTGTAAAATCCTAGACAGATAAGTTATTTCTATTATTGCTAATAATAACAACAGTAAAACCACCGATATTAATATTGAGCTGGTCTAACCCACAGTATAAAATGGGCCTTTATGCAGTCGTCTGCTTGTACAGAAATGAGGATCGTAATTAGAGACTAGTTTTAGGAGGTGTGAGCTGGGCAAGCCGACACTGTGTGGCCTTTTCTTCCCAGAGGACCTACTGAAGGGTACACTGAGCACAGCCTTCAAGGGGGAAAGAAGCCATAAAGGAGCACTCTTCAAGAGTGTGCGAGGGTGTGGTAGAAGACTTGCTGGATTGTGTATTTGTGTGTATATATTTCATCGGCCTGTTTATTATGTGTACAAATATATGCCTATATGTTTAGCAGCTACCCCCTTAAACCCAGGTCTCAGAGCTTGGGGTCAGAACTTGTTTCTTTACTTTTCTAGCTGTTCCCTTTCCCTTGTCTAACTCCTTTCTTCTATCCCTGTTGCATTCTTCCCTCTCTTTCCTTGTTTGTCTGGTTGCCCCACTGTGTTACCTGTCCTTTCTTTATTGCTTCACATTTCCTTCCTTCCTTCCTTTCTTTATTCACCTTCCCCTGAACTAAGCCTCTGGGAAGTTTTCCAGGAATTTGCTTTTGTCCTTCAGTCATAGGGGAGTGTCATTTGAAAACATTTTTCATGAAACCAGGCAAGACCTTAGAACTTGAGTGGTCAAGTATGGTATGTACTTTCTGTGGCTCATTAAACACTTAAAAATAAAAATTTGTAGTGGAACTAGTTTTTCACTAAATACATTAATAAAAAGGAGTGGCTGGGTCAGAACTGAGACTTTAGAACAGTAACTAGGACGACAACATGGAAGACAAGATTCAAGAGAGAAATATTAGGCAACTGTTTCAGGAATC